TTACTGTTGTCCTGAAGCTCACTTCAGTGGTAAGCAGCTATGTGAACAAAGTTCAGGCAAAACTGAATGCTGAAAAACATCACAGAAACTCCTCCCTTAAAAAGGATCTCCTGAGCTGAAGGGAAAGCTATTTCGAGCAGCAAACATAAGAACGTTTCAGGAAACTACTCCCATTCAAACTTGTTCTAATTATAACTCCCAATTCCTTTAATTCTGATAAGCAATAATTTCTCTTCTAAATTTTAGTAAGTTTATAGCATAATTCAGGTTGTAAGGGAAATAATGTAGCAACAATTATGATATCCCTCATAAATGCCTACTGTATGGGATGGAGACATTGCCCCTTTATTGAATTCTTGATTCAAAGGCAAAAAAGGAGCCAAGGAAACCCCACCTAGGATATAATACTTTCTGAACATTGGATGATTTTATCTTTCCTTTCCTCCAAGATGTATATGTGATTTCATTTCTTCTGTGTATTTCCAAGCAGTCAGCCAGTTTTGTTAGAGAGCAGGGAAGTTTGGCACTGAGGGAGATCAGCTTTTATGGTTGAAAGGGATTCATGAATTGGAGTATCAGGTCCATGCTCCCAAATGACGTATTTAGGAATAGCATTAAGGGCCAGTCTTGGGAGATGTTACAGTGCCAAATGCGGGGGCAAGCAAGTGCAGTCAAATAAATGGAGAAGGAAACATGAAACATTCACTCCCTCTGTCACTGCAGAGGCCAACCAGCACAAGACCACCCTGAAGCGTTTGTGATTTCAAACCAAGGTGCTGAGTCAAAATGCAGTAGAACATAACTGTCTTCTTAACATTTCTCATATCAGTTAAACTATTCTCAGAGTGTAAAAGATTCAGCTAAGGCTAATTTCCAGAGAATAACATTGCAAGTGAGGATAAAGATTATTAATAATAAATGTCAGGTCTATTAGAAGAGTCTAGATGAAAATATCTTTATAAGCTGGGGTGTTTTTTACTCAAGAATTTTGTTTGTGTCCAGTCCTTTAGAAGGACTGGAGCACTGGAGAAGTTTGTCAAAATAGAAGTATATTCAGTTATCTAGGACAGTAACAAAAGACTTCTTGATGCAATTACTTTACAGTTCCCTAAAGCCTCTAATTACTTTTTCCACAAACCTGTTGGACATATTAAAAGCTGTATTTGCTGCATTCTTATTCCACACCCTGTTTCTGCTCTCAGAGTAGGGTAGAGCTATTCTGCAGAGTCAGGGGAGACTGAAGAGATTTCAGTATCAAAACAGAGCTATACTCAGTCTTTAAAAAAATTACTTGGTTACCTTTTATGTGTTTTCTATCTACTTTGCATTTGTGTCCTCTCCATGTATTCTAGCACTTGGCTTCTTTCTGCCTGGATTCTGGGCTGTAAAGAGTGTGGAAGTTACATGCAGTGTCCTGCTATTGTATGAGCACATTTCTAGTTAGTTATTTTGGGGGCAGGATTGAAAGGGGGGGGTCATTATCTCCATTTACCTGTAATGCAAACATTGGGTGAAAAGTTTGAGGCCTCTGTTACGGTTCAAAGAGCAATCGAGACAGACATAATGATACTCTTCTGTGTAGGACTCTACATGAGGTTTGTTTCATAGAACCATAGAGCCATTTGTGTTGGAAGACATCTTTGAGGGTCATCTAGTCCAACCTCCAGCAATGAGCATTTCTGTTGTGTTGGGATTAGGTAGAGAGGTGCTTGGTGGAATAATTTACTGTTACTGTTTCCCCGTACCATCTTGCAGCTCTGCAAGACCAGTGGAGTAGGTCCAATTGACAGCTGCAAAGGTGATGCAGAGCAGCTTGTATTGTGGAATACATGTTCAGGTAACTCGCTTCTGTTTCGATGTCCAAACTAAAGGAGAAACAGCAGGAGGAGATGGTTCAAAGAAGAGGCAGGATGGGACTCAGAGATGTGAAGAGCTCTTCACCCAAGAGAGACTAAATAGATTGGTTTTGGTCAGAAACAGTAAGAATAGAGAAATAAGAAAACTCTGAAAAACAAATCTGATGGGAAAAGGCAACCCAGATGCCTCTGCTTACTTTTCTGTTATCACACAAAGTTAATCAATGAATCTGGAAGTCCAAAATCACAACTGCAAGGTGTGCTCTGTACCACATCATAGCCTGGAAATTTACTGTCACATGCTGTCATTATCTTAGCCAATGTTGCAGAAGAATACAAAATAGAGGTAAATAATTGAATAATGAGGAGGAAGCAATTGTATCTAACACCTTTAGTTGTTTTACTAATTAAGTTCTGTAATGATTCCTGACCAAACCTAACTTCCTGGCAGTAGAAAATATTTTTTTTCTAGCAGCTTAAGCAGCTTACATGAAGGGAAAAAAGTATGTCTCCAAAGCTGTTGGGGAAGCTGTTCCCATTTGGGTGGGAGCCCGAAAACTCCCATTAACTCTCACTTTTAATTTCTGGCTTCTCAGTGTATGGAACATTGGTAAAATGGAAAAACTTAACATGCCTCCTGAAACAAGTCTGAAATGTATCTGGCGGTTGGGTGTCCCTTTCCACACATCATCAGGCACGGGAGAAGCTGTGCAGAGGGAGGTGATTAGCACATGAGCTTGAGTCACAGAAGATAAGTATTTCTATAGCAGCCACTTTGAGGGAAGATGGAGGTTCTCTAGGGACAGCATAGCAGTGCCTGCTGTAACTAGAAACAGCTGAGTTTTGTTCATGATTTGTTGATCTATGTAAATCAGAATGTTAGTACAGAGCTGAATTATGAATTATTTCAGTTAATGGATGGACTGATGTTGATAAAATCTGTATTTCAGTTGACTTTTTTTTAAATTTTAATTTGTTATTGTCATTTTCATAGTTGCAGGTCAGATTGTTTATCTACTATTCAATGCTGAGCGGATGGGATATTAAGTCCAGGTGATAACAGTCACAAGCTTTAGGATGGTCTCATGAAAAAAAATGTAACCTGAAGTATGTGATGCAACTTTCAAAGCTGTGTTTCAACTTCTTTGATTTGCAAAGTGTCTTAACATTTCACTGCTGGAAGCATGGACCCCCTCATCAGTGAGTTTAAATGAACTGGCTGTAGGCTTGCCTTCCTCAGTAATAGGTGTTGTTTCCTCTGTGATACATGGTTGTGCAAATAGGTTACCCTTATCTACCTTCACTGGATGTAGCAGATGAGAGGTTTAGGACTCTGGCCTGATAGAATCAGTGAGCTGTGAGCAATGGTAATAAGAGTGATGGGACAGGCTCATTAGCAAAAGGGGGGGGGGAAGGAGAGGAGGGGATGTGAAGGATGTGCTTGAATACCAGAATGGAGGTGCCTGTTTTGTTTGATGATATGCAACTTGTGATACAAAAAATTGAAGGAGAACTGAAGAGGAGGAGGGTGTGGTGGGCAGATCTCATCTCACTCGAAAGGGTTGCTGATACCACAAAAAAAAAAGAGCCTGGAAGCATACTGATGGAGAATATATTAGACATGTGTCCACAATGGCACATTGGTCAGGAAAGAGTCAACCCAACTTCAAACTGTTTAGGTTTAACATACTGTATGGAACAGTAATGGCTTTCCTATGTGCACTGGATATTGAGATAATCTTAGACTGCTGCATTATCCTAATGCTCTTGAGGAAACTAGAGAGAACGCCGAGAACAGCTTAAAACATGAGTGTGAGTTGGGTAATCACCTTGGGAAAAAGTTCTGAGAGCAGTATGTGCAAACTGACAGCTCTGTTGTGGGGAAAGTGCATCATTATAAACAACAGAACAGTGTACTTGCTAATAAAGCAGAGAATGATTGATTTTAGTTGTTAGGATTGAGTAGTAAAGAGGAAGTTGAGAAATCTGAGGTTAATAACTCGAAACACTTTCTAGATATGAGGTCTGTTTGGGCTTCAAAAGTGTCTTACAGGGAAAATGATGGTAGTCGTGCAGTTAGGATATTCAGAAATGAAGCTGGTGAATCACTAATAAATGTAAAAACCTGTGTCAGGGTAAAAGCAGAGTTAAATACTTAAAGATTTCTCTTGCCCTGTTCAGAAGCTTCAGCACGATAAAGTGAAAATTGTTCTGAAGATGCTATCTATACCTCTCTAACTGTCCCAATGCCCTGTTTCAGGTTCCAAAATTCTCTTTAAGTAGCAAATTACACAGAGTGACCAATGGCAGACTTTTTTTCCCCTCTGAGTCTTGAGAAAAGTCAGCAAAGGCATAAAAGGAGGTAACATGAAATTGCTGTCAAAGTGAATTGCACTGTGACTGATTGCTTGTGCTGCTGAAAGTCTCAAGTTCACCAGGGTACAAACATAAGCTGTTTTAAAACTTTGCTTTTTCAGATGTTTACTGAATACACTCTAGCACAGGGGGGAAAACTCATCCCTAGCAGTTGTTTCTTTCCTTAGGATTTGCTGTTTGTGAACAATTATTTGTCTTGAGCCAAATAAGGGTGCATTTTGAGATTTCTATGAATTTGTACTATATAATGAATAAGAAGAATGGTACATGTTTCAAAGTACTTCCACAGTTCTGAACATTTTAGGATCTTCATTTCCTTTAGGTGGTGTCCTGACTAATACAGGTAATTTGTGGACCATAATTTGCATTTTTAATGCATTTCCTTGAAGGAGCTATTTGTCACTTACTCTGAGACTCTGCAGTGATGATGCAGAGCACTGATATCTTAAAATAAGTCAAACCGACTTTTCTTTTGAACTGAAAAACTGACTGACTAACCTTAAATCCCCTTGCTGTTGAGGAAAGCGGTAAGGATCACATTTTTCTTCAACCTTTGGTGAGTCTGTACCATCCCAATGGGAGTGTCTGTTAATTTCTGGATGGAAGTCATTAATGGTTCCTTTCATCCTACTCCCAGGTAATGAGGGTGGTATTCTTCTGTTCTTCTGTCTAGCCTGCACCAGGGTCTTAGCTACAGGGTATGCTTTTTCTGTCATCACCAATGTCTGTATTTGACAGACCTTTCCAATTTTTTTAATGTGATTTCAGCTTCCAAACAATTTGCTGAAGAAGTCTTGAAAGCACACAATGACTGCAGGAAGAAACACGGAGTTCCCCCCTTAAAACTCTGCAAGAAGTTAAACAGAGGAGCCCAACAGTGAGTTCAGTCCTTTCTTTTCTTTAAAGAGACTTGTGACACTTTTATCTGTTAGGTTCGACTGTGCATACAAAAATGCCTTTTGACATGCTGATACTCGGTGAAGACTTATTGGGTGGAGGGTGTGGGACTCCACTCTTTTGTGCTCTCTTTCTCCATCACATAGGTCTAGCTGGTTATATGGACACTTCTGTGGTCACAACTGTATAAATCTTTCCTGGACCCGTTTTCAGACGCTGCTGTGTCGGTCTGCACTGGTATGTCTCCTCTGGTAGTTGCCGAAACCATGCTTCACCACCAGTTTTGTCAGATGATGGATTATCATCTGCAGGAGAATATCCACAGCTGCTGAAATAGTGAGATAAAGAACTTCTTCATGGTAAGAAGTGGTGACTGGTCTAAGATCAGTGGAATCAGAAGGAATCAGATCTAATTATCTATCTCCCCGCCCCAAAAGCAAAAGCATGATACATTCTCCATTCTGTCAGGAGGGAAACATCTTACCTCTTCTCCAGTGTTGAAGACTGCACAGCTTCTTGTCAGTCTAACGTACAGTGAATCCATCTTCCTGCTCTCTGACTTAAGTCTTTCTTAGACAAATTTGAGTCTGATACTGCTTGTCCTTTTTACTGTAGTTACGACAACCAGATTAATTCCTTTCACTTTACAGCAACCTTTTTCAAAAAGTAGATTTAAAAATCTTCAGTTTTTCCAGGCTGATCCTTACAGTGCAAAGGAAATATAACTGAAGGAGCAAATGCTGATAAAACTATTCGGAAAAGAAATGTCTTCCCATAACAGCTAAACAATGGCCAGTTTGATCCCTGCAGGTAAAAGATCATTAGGCTTTCTACCATGACTATTCAGACTTCTCTGGGCTGGCTGGCTGGGAGCCAGAGAGGCTGTAGTTTTGCAGAACCTGATTTACCGTCCCAGCATGGTGCTGCACTGTCACACAGATGCACCAGCTCCCACACTCCTAGACCAGTCATCTCTGCCAAGTGTTGTCTGCATGGCATGAGGACATGACCTTGGCAAGTAAAATCTTGGGTTTTTCACTTTTTCTGTTTTTTTTTCTTGAGACATCATGATAACTGGATACAGTATTTCTAAGAGATGGAATGCCAGTGACTCATCCATGTACCTTTGTAATCTGCTGGGGCTTTCCTTCTGTTCTTCTAAGGCTTGTTTTGTTTCTGTTTTAGGTGATGGCTCACAGTGAAGAAAAGATTTCATTGACTTGTCAATAGCACTTCTTATGTCTCCAAAGTGGTGCACTTAGTTTGAACAAGTCAGCCTGTATGAATAGTTCAGATTATTCTATCAAATATGCATTGCTCCACATTTATCTCTAAACGTGCTATTGCCCTTGCAGGGTATTTTTAGATCCTTCAGAAATTCCTCACAGTCTTCTCTGGTTTAAGCTGACTTGCCCTGTGTGATGAATAACAGTAGGAAACCTTTGTTTGGTTGTGGTCTGTAGCTTAACTTGAAAGAATTAAAAGACACATGTTCAGAGACTGGTAAAATTGGTTGATACCAAGAACCAGAAATGCTTTGATATGAATAAAAGAGATGAAATTTAAGAAATCTCATATTTGTCAAGACAGATTTTGCATATTCTTAAATTCAAAGAAGAACAACTTTTCTTTAGGTGCATCTGATCCCTTTGTTGATATGTATTTGGTGTATCTCTGGATACTTTTCTGTGCTTCTCTATCTGTGTTGAAAATGGTTTGTTTTCTTCTGTTTTTTGTTCCAGTAACGGTGACAGGTTAGATGAACTGACTATGGATCCCTACTTTAGTATGAGATGAGTCACCCTCAGCAGGTGTCTGTTTATCTCTGACTGTAATGAAGCATAGGGTGATGATCTCAGATGAAAATCTCATGCTTTCAGTCTCCATCCTGAGCTGGAGTGTATTAATCACCCTTTGTCTCACATCCTTGGCAGCTTCATCCATCTCTAATGTGTACTTTGTTCCAGTCTTCCCTCTAACTTGGGATGTGGGAATCCTTGAAGAGAAAAACTATGGGACTGTGGTGATATATGGCATGAAGGAGCATCCGGAGATCCTCAGTTCAGGATCTAGCAGGCTGATGTGAAGGAGCAAGAATCAGAATGGGAATGATTTCAGGAATGGAAAAAGATATACAGCGATTGAAAGGACTTTATTACAGTTATTATGTGTTTTGCATTGTATGATTCCCCGGAATTTGTAATTCCCGGGCTTGCCCAGGCATGCCTGCTCCTTGCTTCCCTCTCTGATTGGCTGAAGAAGCTGCAGAGAGGAGAGAGCTCGTTCCTCCCTCTTTGCCTGAGTCCCTATCCCTGTTCGTTTCCCTGGTTGTCTGTCTCATGCTCCACCCCATTTTCTGGTGCATTCCACACCAGAGTTTATAAAGCCCTTGTGCACCCCCATTAAAGGGGCATTGCATCGCAGTCTCAAACTTCGTCAGACCCCTTTGTGCAGTGCCACGGCCTTTCCCCCCTCCCCCATGGACTGTAGCAGACTGACAACTGACTTTTCATTATTTCTAAATTAATGGATGTAGCTTTGTTTGTTTGTTTTGATGGGAGGTTTAGGGCAGAAGGAAATTAGAACCCAATGACTGAAGTACTAGATTGGGGCAAAATGTTCAGCTGGACAAATTTCCTTTCTCTGGCAGATGCCAGTAATTCATGATTAGGAAAGGAGTAGAAGGACAAAACAATTGTACTGATCCTTCCCCCGTTATCTTCTCCTGGAAATTACAGATTTATCCTGCAAATTGGGGTTTTCCTAAGCAGTGGGTAGTCTCCTCATTTATTTGGTGCTGTTGTTTACAAGTCCTGAAGATTCTCCCCTACGTACACACACTGTAATTTTGTCTTTCTCTTTTTCAAACCCACATGGGCTTCAGTGTCTGCATCATCCTGTGGCAATGACTTCTGCCACAGTCTGAAAGGAGTGCTTCGTCTCACTTGATTTTTAAATTTGTGACCTGATGGTTCTCCCTGTTGCCTCCTGTTTCTTGTGCCATGAGAAATAACAAATAGTCTTTCCAATTTCACTGTCTTTGTACTGAAGCCTTTCCAATGTTGAATAAAGAGAATAATTGTTTATTCCTGATGTCCTTCTTAACCCTATTGTTGAAAGACAGTAAAATATTAACAGCTCTCACACATGTCAACTTCTACCAAAAGGTTTCTGCTTATCCCTATGTCAGTTTACACAGTTGTTGCCTCAGAATCTCCATGTGGTCTCCTTCTCTTCCATCCTATTGCCTAGCACACTGTTGTTCATTTGCATTTGACTTTTTTTTTTTTCATTTGTAAAGTAGGGGTTTTATGCTTGCTTTAACTGAATCCCCATTTCTGTCTTGTTTTCCAATCTCACTGAGAACATATGGTTTACTCCCATGAGGAGCCTAGAAATGTCAGGAGGTGACACCTGTAACAATTGCTACAGGTACTTCCCTTTCCACCAGTGGCTGCAGCTAAGGATGGCCAATGGATTTCCAGGTGATGGGCAGAATGTGGTGGGAGGAGGCCTGACTTTTGATTTCTTCTAGGCCCTTCTCAGGGGTGATACAGATGCTCATGAAAGACTGGGCCTCTGGGCCTTCCCTTTGCCTAACTAATAGATCTACATAAGATTAAAGCATCCCTGGCTTCAGGGCTTTGCAACCTGATAACTTGACTTAAAGTCATCATCTTCCAGCAAAATTCCTTGCTTGCATCTCCTTCTCTTCCTCCTTGCTGCTCGTTGCAGCTATGGTCCCTGACCCAATATGTGGATTCCTTTGCTAGGTATGCAGAAGAACTGGCTACCACAAGGGTCCTCAAGCACAGCTCTGAGTCTGCTAATGGAAAATGTGGCGAAAACCTAGCATGGGCATCCTATGACCAGTCAGGTGAGTTTTCTTCTCTTGTTGTCTCACAGACACCAGATAAATAGTTTGTCTCATGTACTTTGAACTCAGAGCATCTGGTTGCAAGGGTGCTGGAGTTTCCTCTATTTCAAAAATGTATCCACCACCACCCAGCCCAGCCTAGCCCAGGCTCCCTGGGGACAGGATGGTGGTTTGCAATCACCTATGTGTATGGAGAGCAAGAAGCACATGTAGCCACAGAGGGGTTAAGGGACTGTGGTAGTGTGTTGTGTTCCTTTGGAGGTGACACTTGGCAGCTAGGCTGCTTCGTATGTCCCTGCTGTGGAGCTGTCTTTAGTGCTACTTGCATGTCCATGAGAGGGAGAGAAGGAAGACATCAATGCTATGTACTTCACCTTTGTCCTTAGTTTGTCCCAGCCAAAGAGAGGTCTGCCCACGGTTGTGGTGAGGAAAGTGGAAAAATGTCCATTGCGCACTATACAGCAGTTCCTGTTTGTGGGGGCAAAAATGGGAAACTGGACACCAAAGTGACAGTGTTGCTATGTTAGTATGTCCACTCTGTCAGCAAACAGGCTTTGAGCCCTTTTCTATTCCTTCATTTTTGAAGACAAAATTACTCCATGTATTTTCTGATTGTAAATGTAGCACGTAACTGGCAGCCTTTGGTTTGGATGCCCCAGGAGCTGAATTTTCGCCAGGCTGACAGCCTGCAGTGAGCCCTTGGAGAGAGATTCGGCAGGCTCTTCCCTCCTTGCTTCCTCCAGTGGGCAGGGCTAGTGCCTCAGCCTGCAGGGACAGCAGGTGGGATGTATTAAAAGTGACCACTTGTTTTCTTTATTCCAATCTACCTCTGGAATTTCCAGCACAGCCTTGAGGAAACAAAAGTTCATTTCTGCAGGCTGTGCTGGAAGGACCTGGAAATTTTAGTGAGTTTTAGGCTCAGGGACGTGTTTTAGTTCCTCTTCAAGTGCCAACTTTAGTCCCAAGTGGGTACTTTTTCATGTTGAAAAAGAAACCCATTGTGGAAAACTACAATTTGATCAACTCATATTTGGCATTCTGTCCTTTGCAAAAGTGTGAGGCAAGGGTTCAGAGCAGCATGGGAAAACACAGATGTACAGCAAAGCTTGCATAGTGGCTATGACTCACTGACTGAGCTTACTTCTTTCTTCTTGTTTGTGTTAATGCCCTGCACTCCTTCCCCCTGGGTTAAAGTCACAGAATTCCCATTTAGAGAGCTGGAAATATAACACACAAATCCTTCTACATAATGTCTGTCTTTTTCTGGATCCAATTTGTTTTCTTCAATGCACTGTTTCCATACATAACTTTCCAGTTTTGAGCACTTTTGCTGGTTTTTTTTTTTTTTTTTTTTATCTACAGGATGGAATGCCTTATATATCCTATATCCTCTTTTGTTCTGTAAAACACTTCTACATTTCCAATGAAGCAGGATCACTCAAAGTACCAGAATGAGCAAGCTAGTTCTTCAAAGAAAGTTATTTTCTCTTCTGGGCTTAGTTTTCATCTCTGTGGAGCTGGTTCATTCTTCCTCTTTTTCTCATATAGTTCCCTTTGGATAGTTAATTTGTATCCTGCTCAATGAGGCTGAAATTTGGATTAAGGCATCCATTCAAGGGCTTAACAAAGGGAGGCAATGTCTTCCGGTTTCTTCCCCAGATAAAGCAAAACTCAATAAACCTCTAACATATTCTGTATTCTCTCTCACAAAGTGATGCTGCTGTTTATTTTGGCTCTTACTGAGTTCTGTAATAATGCCAGAAGATGCATTTCTTGTTTCAGAGAAGATTTAAGCTTTGACCTATAAAGCCTTCTAGTCTGACTCCTCTCCTGGTACAAGAATACCTTGAATTGTATTCAGGATTTTAGAGTTACATACCCTAAAGCTGTTGCTGGAAATATGTTTATCCCTGTAATTCAAGAAATAGTTGACAGCTGTTTCCTCCCTCTAGTCCTGCAGGAACTGCTTCGTGGCAGACTTCTCTTTGTCTGTGTTTGAATAAGTGAGCTGTCATCTGCCACTAATGGAAGAGGCCACAGCCTGCCTTGGCAGCTGTAGTATGTCAGGCTTCTCAGGATGCCTCATCTCATTTTTCATATGTCTGGAGGATGAAGGCAAGCACTGGATGTCTAAATTCTGTTTGGGATGGCTGGTGTGGTCATGAAGAATGTGCTGTATTGCCTGTGAAAACACTGCAGGTTATGGATTTGAGAGAGTTTATAAGAGAAATCCACTGTGTGTTATCACCCAAACCTGTTATGGGAAAAACCTGCATCTCCTACAGATCGGGACTAGCAGGCAGAGCAGCACAGTCACCATCTGCCTCAGCCCTGTCTAACACCAAGCTTATACAATACTGTTAAATTAAATAAAGTAAAATAAAATAAGGACCTGTATGAGGAATGCTGAAAGTAGATAATTAGTTCCAAAATCCATTAGTATGACTTTATTCTAGGTAGATATTTTATTTCTGAGGTGAAGTTAAATCTTCTACCTTCTTTCCCCTCAGACTGGTGGAAGGAATGTTGTGATAACCCAGTTTTTAAGTAGATTACCAAGGTGCTGCCCATCCTTGCAGAGAAATATGTCCTATGTGATTTTATTAGAATGTTTTCAAGCAACTCACTCAGTGGGATTACTTGAAGATTTAAGGATTCTTTGGTATGAGGAGAAACAGTAAGGCTGGGCCTAGAGAAATTAAGTGTTATGGGGAGCTGAATACAGCAGTAGGGCTGCCACAGCATTGTGTTCCCAGTGGTGAGGCTAGGAATGTATTTCCAGGCTTGGAAATACACATATACAGCTTATACATGCATATATATGCAGAGCAGCACAAACCCATGCAGTCAGCATTAAAATGAAGAGCACCAGTGGCCTCTTCCTGTTCCCCTTTTTGGCTGACTGCAATGATATATCCTACTGGAAATGTATAAGTAAATTAATATAGTATACGTACATACAAATATATATCTTTTTAGTAATTGATTTAAAAAGTAGATATAATGTATATTTCATAGTGCTTAATATATAATTATATTATTTTACGTGTGTGTGTATATGTATGTATATATACACACATATACATATACATATATATATATATATACACCTCTGTGAGTGTGTATATATATGCACACATCTCAGTAATAGAAATAGAATCCCAGTGTGGATCTCTGCAGTAGCTAAGCTCAGACACTCAGTCTGCCCAGTAGCTGTCCCTGGATCCTGGTGTCCCCAGTAGCTTGTACCTGGACATACCAATCCCTGAGGCTGCAGTTCCACTCCAGTTGTCTATCATGGTACTGTTGAAACTCATTAGAGTGAGATTCAGCCTGTTCCGAAATGAACATCTAGTAAGTCTAACCGAGCACTAGGAGAAGGGTGGAGTCCAACTGTGTTTCCACAGTGAAAGTATTGCAACTATGAGTGTGGTTTACAGCCATGCAAACAGGAAGGGTATTTTAAAAACTCAGCAGTGTACTAGTTGGTTTTGCAAGTGGAGGAACAGAAGAGAAGCTACAGGGCTGACCATAGGGCAGGTCCACACACTTCTTGATAGAAGTAAACTTTATCATTCTGCTATAATCATGAGTGAAGGGTGGCAGTGATTTCTTTTCTGTGTTCTTTCCTTCTGATTGAAAAGCATTTTGAACAGCAACCAACCCCTGTTTTGGAGGAACTTTTGAGGCAGTGGGAGCTGTTTTCAATGAAACATTGAAAAGCAACTGGAACAGACTGTAAATAGGACTACATAATTTATTCCATAATGCTTCTAAATGGAAATATTGTAGTCAGTTTTCTGAAAGGGTAAGTCTGAGATGCAAGTTGCTGCTAAAGCAGGTAGGCTCAGTGCTCTGCTGACCCTTCTGTTGTTTTCTCTCTGGAAGCCGGGGGATCACCGAGCTCAAAACAGAGTTCTTCCTTAGTCCCCTGTGTGCCAGCTGTCATTTTCAGCACTGGTTTGTCTTGTTCCCACCAGGGCATTGTTTACTGCTCCCCAAAGGGCAAAGAATCAGAAGACAAGTATTTCAGAGGAAAGAGAGAGTGTTCAATCACTATGTACCTACCTGTCTTCTCAGGTAGTAATAACTTCTGCGTTGGACTTCCTCTCACCTCCTGTGGCATGTGACAGATACAATTCATTCCCTTCACTGACAGGACACTTCTTTAACATGATTTCAAGATAGTTTGTCAAAAGTTGCCTAGTCCTTTGGTCATCTTCTCTTTTGCTGGAAACGAATTAGTCTTTATTTTCTCACAGCTTACGATACCATGACTCTTTTAATTCAAGGATGATAACAGCAATGCCATAAAATGATAACCTGATCTTGCATGTGAAAAATGGAGCATAGTGATCAACTTCTAGGTTTTCACTGCCTGGCCTCAGTAAATTGCAAGTTTTCATCCTTGAAGTCTGGGAATTAGCACATCATAGGCTATGCTGTCCAGCTATGCTTGTTGTCTTTCAGGTGGAGGATTGAGGTAGTCTTATCTGATGGCACTGCCACCTCCCTTGAATTAAAAAGTTAAAAAATTTTCACATGATAGTGTTCTTTAAATTAAAAGCAAATTAATTATGAAGAGATACTGTGTTTGCTAAAACTTACATGTGTCCTGCAGTGCTTCCATTATGAAGATTTTTTCTGTCCCATGCAGCACACTTCTTTCTTAGAGCTACAGTAAACAGAGTGGGAATGACTTTCTCTTTAAATATTCTTTATGCTCTATCACACTGATACATTAACAGAGGGAATGAAGTGCTGGTAGCAGTGGGAATGCAGTCCTACATCTGTAAAAATACTACTTATATAGTGTAGTTACTTCAGCACTTGTACACATAAAACGCATGGGCTTCATAAGGCCAGATATGTCAGCAATCACGTTCTGTACTTCTGTTCCACCCAGCTTACTACAAATGTGTCTAAATCCTTCAAAGCCTTCAAGTCTGGAGTGGGACAGGATGATCTGCTTGGTTTGTTGCAGGTTTTTTTACTATGTGCTTTTTCTTTTTCCCTTGTATTGCATAAAGATTGCTCCTTGCACTTTTTTTCAGTCCTCATTTAGCTTTAATGTGAGTAACAAGTGAACGAATAAATATGTGTTACATACTTCAGCCATAAAACAGCTCTACAGGGTTTGTTGGCGCAGGGAGAGAGGGAAAGAAGAAGCCAATTGTTATTCCCCTCTGAGAAGCAAGAGAGGTTTTGCTACCTTTTTATGAAGAAAATGTTATTTGACTCTACTAAGCACTATTCCTAACTAGCAATGTGGCATATAAGTTTGTGGGACTTCCAGTTCACAAACCTCTCAAGAGATGGCATTTCATTCAGTATTTTCCTTTCAATGACAGCTCTGACAACCAGCTTGCCAGGCTAGCAGCATCATCCTTTTAGCTTCAATCATAAGAAAATGAAGTTTAAAGAAGTTAACGCAGCGTCTGACTTCTGGAACTGCACAAGTTTAAGGCTTTTTGCTGCAAAATAGCAAAGCATGAGTCACTGCTGTTCTGCAGCCAACAGTCCACCAGGGACCAGCATTCTTCATGACGGTAGGCTTAACAGCATTGGCACATTGCTATGAAATCTACTGGCCTTGTGTTGATGACACATCTAGAAATGCTAAGCAGAAATATCATTATTGATGTAGCTCAGGGAAAAACCTCCCCCCCCCTCCTTCCTCGCCTAGTGTTTGACACAACAATTTCCTAACAACCAGTAATGGAAAAGAAGTAACATTTGACTTTTGACTGCATAGCATCTGCAAATTCTGGTCTGAACTACATCCCTGGATGTAGTCATGTCCTTATACAGCTGTTATCAGTGAAAGCCTTTGATGGGTTGAGACACATGGACTGCCACACAGATGCAACATGTACATTAGAGGTTTCTGGCTGTATACCCTGAGTTAGTGTGTCTCAAAATGGATCTTCACAGTGGCCGAAGTGCTAAATATAAGCAACTAAAAATAAATGCACTCAGAAATATGAAGTATTCAATGCTGATGAGAACATGGGCAACTGGAGGACTTCAGAAGTGTAATTTTTGTTTGGTTTATCTGGAGCTGTAAGGGGGTATCTTCATGCACCACAGGTGGGAGGCCTCCATGTGGAACAGGTCTCTGTGCCCTTTGCTTAGAAAATCTGGCATTTTCAAACACATTTCAAGAAGGAGCTGGTGAAACCTGTGTGTAGAAACCTAATAAGAGGAGCACTCATCCAAGATGAGAGAGATGTGTCTTTGTTACCTTTCAAGCTGAAAGTTAGAGAAGATTCTGGGCAGAAAAAACCCCATAAACTCGATGTGTTAAGATTTCCAGATGTTTCTTTGAGGACTAAAGGGATTGCTGGACCATTTTGATCCAAATGCTATGCCACGCAGTTCTCTCTTGTACAAAGGATTTTCTAACTTCAGCCTTGAAAAGTTTTAACAGCAGATGAGAATTGATGGACGGTCCTGTTTCCTGATCTGTTGGTGATAGTATAACACTCATCTCATCATCAGCTCTGTCCTACCCGGTGAGCGCCTTGCTGCAGAGATCTTTCCTCAACAGGATGAACTCTGCCTGGTTCTAAAGATGATTCATGGGTTGCCTGCCCAGGGTCTGAGCCAGGCTCTGCTGGCCACGGGTTCCCTGGTACTCCAGTGGAGAAACTGATGGACTGTGTTTGCATCAAGCAGAACTCAAATCATTGATGGCATTGGTGGTATGAGGTGCTTAATTAGAAGCACTGGATTAATTAGTAATTTATTAAATTAATAAATTAGAAAGAGTGGCTGTAAAGCTGCCTGGTGGAAAAGGACCTCGGGGTGCTGTTTGACAGCTGGCTGAACATGAGCCAGCAGCATGTCCAGGTGGCCAAGAAGGCCAGTGGCATCCTGGCTTGCATCAGAAATAGTGTGGCAAGACCAGGGAAGTGAGCATCCCCCTGTTCTTGGCACTAATGAGGCCTCACCTCAAATCCTGTTCACTTTTGGTTCCCTCACTACAAGAAGGACATTGAAGTGCTGGAGTGTGTCCAGAGCTGGTTAAGAGTCTGGAGCAGCTGAGGGAGCTGGGGTTGTTTAGCCTGGTGAAAAGAAGGCTCAGGGGAGACATTATCACTCTCTACAACCACCTGAAAGGAGGTTGTGGCAAAATAAGGGTCAGTCTCTTCTCCAAGATAACAAGCAACAGGATGAGAGGAAAAGGCCTCAAGTTGTGCCAGGGAAGATTTAGATTCGATATGAGGAAAATTTGACACTTAAGGACCTGGTTTACTGGTGGACTTAACAGTGCTGAGTTAGTGGTTGGACTTGATGGTCTTAAAGGTCTTTTCAAACCTCTACTATTCTGTGATTCTGTGACAAAAGTAGCAAGAGCTATTGTGAAACTATAAATACTTTGTGCTGCCACGTTACCTACATTTCAAAAACTCTTTTCAGTAAAAGGACTTCCTCCATGTTTCTAGAAGTTCTTGACAGCTTTTAACAGAAGATCTTGCTGGCCAGGCTGTAAGTGAGCTACACTTCTGTGTTTATGTCATGATTTCACAGCATATTTGTTTTGTCTTTCAGGAAAGGATGTGGCTGACAGATGGTACAGTGAAATAAAAAATTACAGCTTTCAAAACCCAGGGTTTTCTTCTGGGACAGGTAAGTTCAAACTGGGCACTATCTCTTCAAAAATACAGCTATTTTAAGAAGTTGCTTAGCCAACCTGTTTGATATGTTTAAAAAATCTACTTTTTTTCTTAGAAAAAATATTAGAAATGGAAAAAAAATTAGAATTTCCCTAAAGTTTTGTGTAAAAACTGGCAGAAGGTAAAAGGAAACTGAGAAATGAGAAAGTTAGCAAAATCTAGTGACTTTTTTTAGTACCATATTTTTCCTCCAATTCCTAAGTTTTTAACAGGCAACTTATTTTTAAGGCAAATTAATTTGTAGGAAGTACTAAATTGGAATCATATAGGTGTCTTACTAAATGTACTGTGGTGTTGTTTATATTGACATGTGACCTCTACTGAATGATATCACTCTGCTCACAGAGATCACTTGAGTTAAAATTTAGAGATCAGGAAGAGGCCATTGGCTGCATATTGACAATCTGGTGTGGAATGAACTTAAGGACATTGTTCCTGGAATAATGTTCAAGCAAGAGAGATACCTGAGCTTGTTTCAGATGAAGAAAATAATGTTTTTCTCCCACGGGATTTGTCTATGCATAGAGGGAACAACTGATGAAGCAGCACAATGCAGGGGTGGTTATTAAACTAGGCAGAAGAAGCCACAAAAACAGTGTTCTTTTGAAGAGTTGCACATGCAAACACATGGGGGAGTATGAAGTGGTTAAAGCAAATGAATAATAAGTCACTCTCAGAATTGCTGTTCACACTGCAGAGAGTAAAGACCATATCTTTGTCGAATTTTATGTCAAATACTTCCCAAACTACTTCTTTCGTGATTCTCCAAGTAGGTATTCTTATTTGGATATAGGACATGGAAATGGGAATAGTAGTAGGGAACCAGTATGGATCAGGGTTTTTCAAGACAAAATGCAAATGTAGGGTTCTTTTTCGTGTCCTTACCTGTTAGAAAAAGAAGCAGCTTTGTATTGTTTTTTTCTTTCCTAGCACCTCACATGGTAAAGGGGATGTTACAGATTTAGTACCTAAAGTGAATGCATATGTTTCTCTCTCTTTCTTCAGGTCACTTCACAGCAATGGTTTGGAAGAATACAAAAAAGATGGGAGTCGGAAAAGCATCTGCTAGTGATGGCTCAACGTTTGTGGTGGCTAGATATGATCCAGCTGGCAATGTAGTAAATCCAGGCTATTATGAAGAAAATGTCCTTCCTCCAAGAAAATAACTTTTTTTTTTAAGGTCATCTTATTGCTTAATGACAAGTGAACCTGGATTTGGACCTAACAGTGTTTGAAATGAAGCACTATTCGATGAAATTTCCTGTTTGATACTGCTGTTCACTTCTCATTACAGAGGAAGCAATTACATGTTGCTTGAGTCAATGTGCACATTAAGTCCCTATTGCTTCTGAGGGGGCCTCAGTTTATTTGATGATGAAGTATATGCATCATTTCTGAAGGGTAAAATTTATGGTGGTTTTTTTTTAAATAGTTTGCATGAACTCCATGTCAGCATGTGAGTAGGCACATGTTGGATGTCTTTATTTTTTTTAAACAAGCAAATTTATAGCCTTCTGTATACTGAAGATACCAGCTTGTAATTATATGATTACTCTCAATATTTATGAATTATATGAATACTCTCAGTTTTCCAGTATTTTTTTAATAACTGTAACTTCTTTCCTCTGTCTTTACCTCCTGCTACTATGGGACCTTTTCGCTGCAGATGGAACATATGCAGACTTCCTGTATGAAAGGCATACGTGTAAAATGTAGTGGCATTCAGACCTGTGTGTTTTGATTAAGAGGATCTCACAGAACACTAAAAGGTTGCTGAGAAATTTTATCCGTCAAGCAAACCATAATTAATGCATGAACTGAAATCGACCAAAATTGTTTAAATCCCATTTTAGGTGCTAATATATAAAATATGTTTGAGATGAGTGTACTTCAGATTCAAAGTCCACCTTACAGTTTACAGTATGTACCTTGTCTTATAATCAAATTGTTTACTTCTGTTACAGAAAAGTAAGATTCTACTTTTTGATATTTACACCAAAAAAAAAGTTTCTTTGACAGTGCACTTTGGATTTTATTTCTCAGTAACTTATTTTTATTTCCTAAGGAACATTTTTCACAGGTGTCGTGCTTTACAGAATAACATTCTCAGATCATCTCGTCTCCTTTAATAATGTCACAGTAGGAGGTATTCACATGGTTATAATTAAGAGATGTTTGCTCTTTGTGCATATCATTCAATAATAGCGATATTTCACATGCTGGATTGATGCTATGAAAAAAATGAAGACTTAATTTCCTTAAAAACAAGCCAAGCAAAAATGCTGAGGATACTATTTTCTCTGATGAAATGTGGATTGGGCCGTTTTGGCCAGGTTCATACACACCGCTTCAATTTGTTGTTTGTTTTTTTCTCTTCAAGTGTTTCTTTTGACTTTTGCTAAGATTCTGTATGCCATAATTTGGTTCATGAAGAGTGCCATTACAGAAATACTTCTTTTTGTTTACACAGTTATAATAAACTGCACTGTTATGGCTTGATTATATGTCACTGTGATGCTGTTTGTTACAATTTTTTGTTGTAACCAAGAATTTAATACATACCATGAACAACTGAAAAATAAATATTTTTGCATATGAACTACTCAAGCCTTTGCTGTTACCTGATTCATTGTGGAATAATCTTCAAATTTTATTTCTAGGACATTAACGTATGACATTATTACTTTAGGAACATGGGGCAAATAAAAGCAGCAAGTATTCTAGTCCAGGAAATAAAAAAAGAGGCCTTGTAAGAAAGGATAAATCATACAGCAGATCATAAATCATCCCTTCATATAAAGATTGAGCAAACAGTTGAAGCTGAAGAGGCGTACCTCTTTCTCTCTCAAACTCCTGCTTTGTATCTCATTTCATTTCTGCTGCTCCCTCTCTCGGCTGACGTGTTGCCAGTAAAGAATACCCACTCGACTCCCACTCAGGCTTGTGTGTTTCACTAACTGCAGCCTTGGGACCTTCCTTCCTTCAACCCTCAGCTGACAAGTGAGATGGGAATGAAAACAGGACTTTGTAAAAAAACCAACAGGCTTGCTGCAACTGACATAAAGCTAAAAGCAGATGTTAAATAAATTAGTGGTATTAAAATACTCTGGTTTTATCCTAATGACACTCATGCTATTGACCCTATAATTCCTTGAATGGTTGATGTAAAATGCTATTGGCCCTATAATTTCTTGAATGGTTGATGTAAAACTGTATGTATCCTAGTTGAGTGAGTCAAGTCAGAATCTTACTCTGCTGCCACCTAGGTTTTATTTTAATGTCAGAACTGGGAAGGTAGGTAAAGAGAGGACAAAACAAAACAAAGCCTGTAGTTATCTTTATTTAAAATGATAATGATGAATGAACTTCTGGAGGTTTTTAAACAGAGCATTTTGAGGGGGCTTCAGAGGTAATTAGACATGGAAGAGGCACAAAGCCACTCAAATAGCCTCAATGGGTCCATGTAAGTAAGTATGATTGTAACAATTAAAAAACCCCAAATCTAATTTAATTCTTCATAACCAAAAATTATGATATTGATACCTTCTACAAATGAACTCTGGCTTCACAGCAAGCCATGGTGCATGTAGGAGCCCAAAGGGAACGGTAATGTTGCTGATATGACTCACTGAAAAGCCATATGATTTTGGGGAATTGTACACTGACACTTGACTTAGCAGCCATCTGTGTTACAAGACTCTCTGTGGGTATATTGCTCCACTCTCTACCACATCTTGGAGAGTTGTAGAGATTAGGAGAAAAGAAAGGTTATCTCCTGTTGCGTTAGACCAAAACAAGATGTTTAAGAGCTTCCTCAGATGGTTATACAGATACAAGTCACGTTTGCCCTGGGAACAAAGATTAGGCAAACTGTCAGCTCTGATACTAGAGGAAAATACCTATCTCTAGAGGCCTGCAGATGGTTTCTAAGGTCTCTATGCAGCAGCAGAAGAAGAAGGAGGAGATGAACTGAGGTTCATTTCCAGTCTTCTGGGTTAAAAAAGCACTTGGGGAAGAACTGGGACTGGTCTTTAAAAGGTGCTGAAGAGGGAAGTCTGTATTAAACACTTTAGTTTGCCAGCTTCTCTCCTTTATATTCCCAAAAGAACAAAACCTCTCCCTGAGGAGACTTGAGGGTGTTGGTTGACTAGAAAACAAGACCCAAAAACGTGCGCTTGCAGCCCGGAAAGCAGCTGTGTCCTGGGCTGCATCAAAACCAGTGTGGCCAGCAGGTCAAGGGAGGGATTCTCCCACTCTGCTCTGCTGATACCCTCTCCTTGGAGTACTGCTTCCAGCCCTGGGGCCTCCAGCATAAGAAGGATATGAACCTGTTGTAGTGAGCCCAGAGGAGGCCACAAATATAATCAGAGGGCTGGAGTACCACTCCAAGAGGCAGGCTGAGAGATTTGGTGTTGTGCAGTCTGGAGAAGAGAAGGCTCCTGGGAGACTTTGTAGCAGCCTTCTGGTATGTAAAGGGGACCTGCAAGAGAGCTGAAGAAGGGCTTTCTATGAGGGCACGTAGTTATAGGGGTGATGGCTTAAAACTGACAGCTGGTAGGTTTAGGTTAGATATTGGGAAGAGATTCCTCACTGTGAGGGTAGTAACCCACTGGAACAAGTTGTCCAGGGAAGCTGTGGGTGCCCCGTTCCTGGAAGTGTTCAAAGCCAGGCTGGCTCTGGCTTTGAGCAACCTCGTCTAGCGGGAAGTATCCCTGCCCCATGGCAGAGGTGAGTTGGACCTAGATAAGCTCTAAGGTCCCTTCCAGCCCAAACCACTCTGTGATTCTACGATCAAATATCCCCTTACTTTAGCACTTAGTCTGCCTCTTTGACGATCGCCCGCGAAAACCCTGTGAAAGGACGGCCCTTCCCACCACCACCCTGCCCGCCCCCCGCCCTCCCAACCGCGGGCTCGGCTGGAGCACCACCCCCGGGGCAGGCCGCCCGCTCCAGCGGTGTGCCGGCCCTTTCCCGGGAAGCGCCGTTCCCGCCGTTCCACGGCCCGCCGGCAGGGGGCAGCCTCGCCCCGCGGTTCCCGCCTCGCGCCGCCCCTGAGGGGTGCAGGAATTTGACTGAAAACGTGGTTTGGAAGGGACTTACCTGAGCCCATCCAAAATACAGAGTGATGTGGCGATGGGAACGGGGAGTGAATTTATATTCAGTCCTTTTTTTTTTTTTTTTTTTTTTTTGGTGAGCACAGAGTCTGCACCTGTGGCTCAGGGTCTGCTGCTCCATCCACGCCTGCATCCAAAATTCACATTAAGCTTCAATGCCAGTAAACAAAGTAATAACATGGCAAATCATTACACAAAAAGCCTGTGTTTATTAGACTGTCCCGGCTAACACAGTTCCCAATGTTTTTTGTAGTCCTGACTCAATGGCTAAATGTCCTCTCTGGCCTTGGGCAAAGGGAGAAGAAGGTGCTGGATACCTGTACATATACAGATGGCTGTCTGTCACTGTGTTGGGAGTGGAAGAACACAGAGGAGGGAATCTGTGGTCACAGCTCCAGGGGGAATCACTTCCCCCTGGTAGCAGGACCAGGGCCTGGAACGCTGCTTCTGAGTGGCTTAGCTGGATCTGTAGTGCTTCCTCCCATTTGAGGGAAAGCAACGTCCTGCCTGGCCACATAGGGGATGTAGATGGCTTCCCCATTCCTTCTGCCTCCACTTTTCTTCATTTCTCCCCCTCCCCTTCCCCCCAATTTATTTAGGCTTTCTGCAAAATAGAGAAGAAACACCCTGCAATAGTGAGCTGGCTGTTGATGGGGTATTGCCAAGAAGGGTGTTTCATTTGCCTTATGACTCTGGCAAATCCCTGCACAACTCAATTATCTATCCTGTATGTTTCTTCCACAAAACAAATAGCTTACAGTGCCTTGCTTGCTTTGTGTCCATGTTGTGCATAGGCTGTCTCCTCAGAAGCCTCAATAAAAAAGCTATGACAATGTAAGAAGCATGAGAGGATTTCCCCTGTCTTTTCATCACAGATACATTACCAAATGCCTCACTCCAGACAGAGTTACGTTGTGGGAAAAGTATTGAGTCACCATCCCTGGAGATATTTAAAAGAGTTGTAGATGTGGCACTTAGGGACATGGTTTATTGGTGGACTTGGCAGTGCTGGGTTAATGGCTGGAATCAATAGTCTTAAAGGTCTTTTCCAACCTAAAAGGTACTATGATTTTATGTTTCTATGAATTGTTGCTCTAACAATCAGGCTTTTTCTCTCCTATATTTGATAATTAGTGATATATTGTGTCCCTTTTTTGCTGCTTGCTCACTTCCCTTAGCAAGTGTAGAGCTGGCATGTAAAGCTCAAGGAGACTTATTCAATTATTTTGGTTTGTGTTCTCTCCTTTTCTTAGCTGGGAATTGCTAGTGAACACAGTGCCTTCAGGCTGTAATTTCCTGTTGCATATTTTCTGAAACCATGTGAGGGATTGTTCTTGATGAGCTTTCCAGGAGCCTGCTACAATTGTACTAGTCTCATTATCAGCCAGATATTGCCTTCAGCTTCTTGCCACCCTTTTTCTCTTGCCATTCAGGATTGTTTTATAATCCCCTCCTGGGATTTGAATGCTAATATGGGTCATGGAGTCTCTGATGGTAGGTGTCACAAATTTGTCTGGGCTAGCACAGAAAAAGAGGCAGGAAGAGAGGGCTCTGAGCACTAGGAATGTCTCATAAAGGATTTATACAGTGCTTATATCCTAGACTGGGGCTTACCAAATATTGGTCCAGGAGACAGTGATGACTGTTCATGAGGTTGTACCACCCTTTTGCTACTCTTCAGCAGGGATATGATCGGGTGGGCAGAAGTCATTGTGAAATTCCTGGGGCTGAAGGTGGCAGGTGGCCCAAAGAATATAGTAGGATTGAGAAAAACATCAGCAGGGCTGCAAAGGATCATTCTGTGTATGTCTGGTTCAGGCAGAGGAGCAGACTGAGGTGATGGCCGAGCTGTACCTGAATTGAGTTAGTGATTCTTAGGGTAGAAGGAGCGTTCAGCAACATAGAGTTGATTTTGGCAGACCTGTGTACCAATATGCCCTGCCTACCACACCGTCAGCTGAAAGGTGCATCATTTCAAGGAAAGTGATCATAATTTCTGGAGACTGCTTCATACCCAAACAAAGCAGTGTCCACTACCATGTATGCAGGTGGCTTTTTTATGAGCTTTCTTCTTAGCTCAGCTGCTTATTCTCCCACTCTCCTGAGTGCAGTGCTTCAGGTTTTTTTTGGGCCATGCTACAGCGTGTAGAAGACTTACTAGAAGAGTCAGCCTGAAGGTGATGCTTTCCTTCTTTACTGAGGACTTTTTTAGAGAAAGGCAATTTATGATTGTGTTTGTGGAGCTACACATCTATCTGAAGGCTGATGTTGGGAACCTTGCCCTGGTTTTAAGTAGTGTAAATGGCCTGGAATGGTCTGTAAGAGCTTTGAAATGTCCTCTTCTGACTGCTGAGAGATTTCCTCCCTAAAACAATAGGCACTGTGGCACCATCAGGGACTGCAGTTACTCTGGATAAGGAGAGGTACTGTCATGAATTCCCACAAGCGCCATCATCTCCTGGATGCTCTGAGGGAGGCTATGATATTCAGAGC